AAACCTTTTTTGCTTTCCTGACAACATGTTTATGTATTAGTTAAATTTTTGTATTGTAATACTAAAGTTTACTCTTTTCCATTCAAAACTGCTGTTGTCGAAATAAAAATCAAATCAAATCAAATCATCAGAATCGTGTATTGGTTGTGTTATTAGCGTAAGAAATATATTAGTGATGTTACTTTTTTGAAACAATGGTATGCAAATTAAAATTGATTCATTTTTTCTTTTTTCTTTTTGTAGGCTAATGGTCAATTATTAAATATTAATCAAATTGAAAATACAACCGTTAAAAAGTTAGCAGAACGATATTGACAATGACAATATTCAGAATATTTAGTATTATTTGATCCAGATCGAACAAGAGGTAGAGATGTATAGTGTTCAAATGATGAAATCTATATTTAAACAACTTTGTCTCAAGATATAATCATCTTATGTTTTTAACTGTGTTTCTTTTTCTCTCATTCATTGCAGATGTCCCAGGTTTAAGTAACATCAGGTGAGTATACATTGGAACATAATCAATCACAATCGCCAAATGGTCAACAACAACCCGTTGAAACAGAAAAATTTGCTCGTATTCTATTAAAATTGCCTGATGTACGTTTAATTGGTAATGATTTGAAAATATTATTACAATTTTTTGATAGAAAAACTGATGGTAAAATATTAGATGCATGTTTATTAGCTGAAATATTAAATCCACCGTGTGAGAAATATGAAAGTGAGCCTGATCAATTTTTTCTATAAAATACACAATAACGAATAAAATAATATAGCGTTTTTACTCAGGTTCTCTACATTACTTTGTTTTTGTTTGTTTGTTCTTTTTAAATAAAAACCATTTTGATCCATATCTGGCACGGATCGGTGACTGCTTCACTCAACAGTATTAGACAGTTCTAAATCTTTTTTACGATAACATTATTGATGTAGAGAAAAAAACTGCTTTGTTATCCTTCTGTTCGTGCCTGACTATTTACTTTTTGGTTCTAATGCCATAATACACACGTATCTGTATGATATGTTTTTAGATGACTGTCAATATGGCAACTCTTCCGACAGAAAGAGTTTTCTCTATTTTGACTATTGTGATAAAATCAATGACTAATTTGAACATGAGAATCTTTTTATTTATTTAGGCTAAATTTTTCCTTTTGGGATATTACGCATGAAGCAATCCATGTACATATAAGTTATACATTCTGAATGTGCAATGCATCAAGCACGCGAATAAATTGTTAGTTTTTTGCACGATTGTATCTGATGGGATCCTGCCGTTATAGTTCGTCGCTACTTGCCATTGTTTGCACAAGTTTTAGCGAAAGCTAACTGCACTGAGAATTATAGAATATATGGATAGTTTCTACGATAAATATCATTAAAAAGAATTTTCATACAATGTTTTCTAATCGCTGCAATAGGTCATATTATCAGAAACATCGATGAGAAAATATTTTTTGCAAGATCAGGTGTAGAACTGATTTCTGTCGGATGTTTAGCTGCAGAAAAGCAGAAGGAACTTTTTTTTTTAGTCAAATTGATTTCACATCTTCTTCAAGAGAGAGAAAGATGTGGAACAGTTTTCTCGAAGAAGGTTTCTTTTCATAAAAAATATTCTGTGACAAATATACCACTAACATATACTCTGTATGTGTATACGATCTGTAGATAGTCTACAGAACACGTCTAAAAGAGATATTTTCAAGAGAGTTGTAGATTAAGGATTACTTTTCTAAAATATTTAAAGAATAATACGTGTGAGATAGTCTGCACAAGATGGTTTAAAAGTTCCATTTGTGGAACTGTCTTGTGTGATGCATAGGAAAGAGTTTCGCATCACGCTAACTGAATGGGTCAAACGGGAGAGTCTTTTTCTAAGATATGGTTGGATGTCATCTCCACCTTCTTCCATTAGTTGCTGTGTTGCATTGGTTGTTTGTTGACGCTCTCGGTAGTAGTAGTGAAATAACATATATACCCAGGGGTAAGAACATTAACAAAAAAAACACTTTTTTCGTTTTTAACGACCGAAAAACGCGTTAAAGGTTTCAAAACGAACGCATTTTTTTGCCGTTTACACGCGTTTTTCTTTTATCTATTCGTTGAGGCGTTTTTCGGAATTTCGCAACTCGTTTTTCGATGAATATGAGCGACAATGAAAACGTTAATTAACACGTGTTGAAATGATTCAAAAAATATAAACAGAGGGAAGATACAGAGGAACCATCAACTTTTGTTGTACCATTCTTTCACTTTTCCCATTCGGCCATATCCTTTTGACATTACATTAGCTGACAGTAACCTAATCGAGAGTAGTACAATTAGTGGAGCAGCCACCGGGTGGGCGCAGCCCACTCACTAAAAGTTTTATAATTTCCACTACTCTGCGCTAATATCTATCACGTTGAAAACATTTGGGGCGTTTTTTGACGGTTCTGTTGAACACGTTTTCGCGTTCTAACGACGTCGGAACGATATAACTTCGAATTTTTCTTTTTGTAAATGCGTTTAGAAAACGGTACTTTAAAAGGCGTTTTGATATAAAATTCAACAATCATTTTAACGCCGTTAGAAAACGCGTTCAATAAAAACGCCAAAAAACGGTTAATTCAACGATCGTTAGCAAACACGTTGTCGAAGAACGCGTTATTTTGAACTTTTTGAACAACAATAAACGCATTTAAACGACTTTTTAACGATCGCTCGCTAATGCGTTCAGAAAAAACGCGTTTTTTGTGCCATTGCTAACGATTTTTTTCCACCTGGGATGTATATAAAAAGGAGTTTGGTTCGTAGCTAACGTCAACAATAGATTATTTTGTATGTAATGTTTGCTTATGCCCATTGCCAATTAGACTCCTGCGAGACAAACTTTTCTGTTGCCCCGAGACCGTAAACCTGAGCCGGAACATAAAAATTTTTGTTCCATCCTATAAGCCCGACCCTGTGAGCAAATACTGTTGCCCCGAACCGGTGAAAAAAAATGTACATTTTTTTTTTGTCCCGTCCTATTTGTTCCGTAATTTGTTGAAAATCCTTTTGTGTTGTGATATACACTGTAAAAGATTGTAATTTGCTTAGCTACGATTAAGTTCAAGTTCTACTTTTGTCTAATAAGAGCAACTAGAGAATTTTATTTCTCATCATACATCTAATTCTCTCTTTCGTGTTTTTTGACGTTGCATCTACATGTTTGTTTAGTGGTGGATAAGTATTTTTCTTTTAACAATGCACGTATGTATGACTCTTTTTCGAATGTATGTATATAGTGTATACATATGGTACTTGTGTAATGCGAAAACTTCTATTGAAACATTCTCAGTAATTATTAAAGCAGAGAACGGTAATAACTGTAGGGTAAATAAAGAATGAATAATCACACAAGATAATTATTAATTATTTTTTCTTATCTCTTCAGACACGAAATCAATAACTATTATTGTGTTTAAATGATATGTAAAACCATTTAGTGCTGTTTTTTCATCAGTTGTTTCACATTTAAAATCCAGGTAAACACAAAATATATTATTATACAATAATGCGCTCTAGATTCTTAGAACAATATGTATATCTATTTTTATTATTTATTATCATAAATATAAATAAAAACTAGTTTATTAATTGCCAATTTACAAGAGAATTAGTTGTAAAAAAAGACTTTTTCAATGGAATTAAACCAAATGAGTTTTCTGTTTATGATAGAAGCGGAAAAAATTTAAAATACCGTATAGATACAAAATGGTTTAAAATACATTCAATTACAATAGCAGCAAAACCATCTAATGAAGAAATAGCTACTACAGAAGTAAAATTAAGATGGTTTTCATATGCAGCCGATTTTCGTATATTAGATAACGGTGTGTGGAAAAATGGTACTATACATACAACTAAAGGTGCATATGAAATCAATTATGATCAAAAAGTTATCGTACTATTAGGTAATATTGCAAAATCGTTTATAAGGTTGCGTTGCGACATAAATTAAGTTTTTATGGGAGACTCTTCGCCTATTACACGTCGACCATGCAAAGAAACCGGGGCTTATAAAGAAAATTAGAGATCTTCACTTATTCTATTCAACGCTTGTTTGAAAAGTGATTTCTTAAAAACTCTGTGCTTTATAAGGTCCTTCCCCAGTGTTAGAATCGCGCATCTGTTGCCTACGAGATAATTAACTGAATGTCGAAATTGGAAGAACTAGAAGTTAGGGATTAGTTTTTGGATTGTTAGAAAAAAAAAGAATTGAAAAGTGATATTTCTTTGGTAATTATTTTCTCTATTTTTAACAAACTATATTTCTGTCAGTTAATAATAACTGCGGTTAAAACTAGTCAGAAACCTATCTCTGATAATATGAGTCAGATCTTAGCCAAACTTTTAGAAGATGCTGATCTTGTTAAAGTATAATGACAAAATGTTTTGTTTGGCTCCATCTAGCATGGTTTGTGCGATGTTGCCACAATGGTGACAAAAGTGGTGCTATTCATAGCTGCATGATTTCTCAGTAACGAAACGTTGTGGAGAGCTCGGACTGGTCTTAAGTTGATGAAAATGCATCTGGCTAGAGGCTAATCAGCGCCGGATTTTTAATATTTTACTCTTCAAACTAATGGTTAGCTAAATCGGGCTCTATTAGCCTCTAGCTACATGTGTCCGCTTCAATTTAAGACCTTCCTAAGCGCTGTGCAATGTTTCATTACCGAGAAATCTTGGAGTTACGAAATGGTGTTACACTGAAAGTCGCTTTCGAGATATGGTGGCTCCAGTGGAATATCGGAGTTTCATTAAAAACATGTTTAATAAAAGTTCCGTTACTTCCATTAAAAAAAATATCACCCAACCCGCGCCAATATCTGATGCATGTTTTAGGGCTTTTTTCAGTCTGTTTTTTAATGCAAAGTAAAATATTTTCTAAAAGTGTTTCGAAAACCACGCTTTTCCGGAAATAGGCGAATTGTGACTTATCGTGGATTAATTCCAATGTATTTTTTCTTTGTGCTTAGAATAGAAAATCTCTGTTTTTTCTAAAAACTTTCTTACATTTTTTTCTTTCTTTTGTTTATATCGCTTATTTTTTCAAATCATAGGTGATACACATGACAGGAGTTTGATTTGGAAAGATGTTAATACAGGCAAAGTATATGGTAAAATACGTAGACGTGCAAGATCATTAATTTTACCAAATGTTTATGAATTGTTTATGACAGATGATTTTCCTGAAGCGTTTTATCTTATTGGTACAGCTATTGTTGGTGGATTTAGCAGCAAGAGACAGTACGGTTGAATAGATACTATTGTTGGGAAATTATACAATCACGTTTTGAACTTGCACAAGGGAAAAAGATGAATGTATATTTTTCTTTTTACATGCCTTCTGATCTATACAGTTTGAAATAAAACAAAATAGATTACCAATGTTATCATGAAAAGAACACAAACTGAGTTGATAACTTATTTATATAGATATAGTTCACAGAACTATAACCAATTTAATATAAGTGCAATACAGTTCAATACAGAAAATATATATAACGTTTAGTTATAGGCATGCTTAGAGCAAGGTATTATTTCTAATAGAATTATTACATAAACATGACTTTTTTGTAATGTTTTTCTTCTCATCTTCGTATGATGTATACTAAGCTCTAAGAGTTCTTTTTCGAATACTTATCATCGAATCCTAATCGACTCATCACCCTGAGACGGGCGATGTTTTTGGTGAAATAATAGATTATTTCAGCACCTTTGCTTTTCTGTCGTGCACATGTCTCACATTTCTCGTCGGTTTCTGACACAACAGTTTGTTGTGTTTCTTTTTTTTGTTTTGTCGGAAATGAACAAGAAATGTGATGCACGTGCAAGACAGAAAACCAGGGAAAATATCTCTTATTTGATACGGCTCTATTAATCACATTCCACTATTTGAGGGAGTTCAGTTGACGAAAAAGATCCTTCACTTCTCGAATTAGAAGTCTATAGCAGTACTCTCTAAAAAAAATAGGCATTTTAAAAAACCTAAAAAGGGTTCGGGAAACTGCAAATATACGGAACCCTTTAAAAGGTTTAGTAAGGGGTTTTTGACGTGTACTAAACCCTTTTTAGGTTCCGT